CTCTGAAAAGAGGGAATCCTGATTTGGTCTCTACCCCAGCCACCTACGCAGGCAGGCAGGAAGGAAGACAGAGACGAGGACCACAGAGCATGCAGAGAAGATCACCTGCTGGCTGCCAGGCGCCCGACAGGGAGGTGGAGTAGGGGGAGGAGAGAGTGTGATCACTTTTTTGGGGCAGGTCCGAGAATGCTCCTTTTCCCGTCGCTTTTACGCCAACAGACACAAACAGAGAGAACATTGGTGAAACAGGGGCCATGTTTACGCTGGTTCTGGAAGGATTAAGAGCATTCACCAAAGCCATCCCTCCCGTGCCTCTCCATCCTCCACACCAATGGCTGTATGGTCAGGGAGGACAGCTTGTCACAGTCGGCGGCTGGCTTCCAGGCCATACTCGCGTTCGTGCTATCTGGTAAGTGCAGACCACACGGGTAGTATCTGTAGCTGGTCTTGGGGCAGAACTTGCAGTGTAACACTTTCAAATGCCAGGGATCAAGGATATATTCTTTGTTGGTTTTATCAGGGAAGTTGAGGATAGAAGAAATGAGCTAGCATGTAGGTAGAGAGAAAGGGCACATAGGCCAACCATCATGAGGGGAGTGTGGTGACCGCCTCCCGAGGGCTCAGTCACCTGTACACCCACCAGCAGCAAAGTGGCACTCTCCTTGAGGGCCCGCCCAAGACAACACCCTGCCATGGCCTCCCTCTCAGCCCCTCGAGCGCACTTAAAAGGTTCTGGAAAACCACCAGGGAAATACAAGGAAGTACAGGAAACAGAATATAAGAATATAAGTACATCTGTCACTAACCGAACACCATAAATATTCATGGATTATTTCCCCATTTTGCCCCTCTCTGTTGTATTGTATTCCCTTCCTGTGAATCTGTGATTTAGAGAACTTTTCAGTACTTAAGAAACAATTACTTGTTTCTAGGCCAGAGGAATCCTCCAATTCCTCATGCCCCGAATGACCATGTGGAGCAGCACACAGATGAAGCCTGGGAGGGAGAAAAAGCTGTGGAGGTTGTGAGGCCAGGGCATACAGACCCCCTGTGTTCCAACCTCTCATGACAATTTACTTCCAAACCAAGGCTGATTAATGTGCAGAGTTTGCCTGCCGGACGCATTTCTGAGATCAAAAGGCAGAAGGGCGGGGAGGGAAGAGCCAAAGTGTTTACACAGGAAGGTAAAAAAGAGAAGTCACTGGTAAGCAAAGTTGTTATTCATTTTCCCTCTTCCATACCATGACCTAAGTTAAAACCAATCCTTGCGCCAACTCAGCCACCATTGATTGTTGTGCTTGCCACACCCTCCTGCCTCAATCCAAACCTCTTCAAGAAAAACAAAAAGTGAGTCACGGCAAGGTATCGCTGGTAAGCCCCCCCCCCATTCCTAAAGGGAGCTAACGAAAGCCATCGTCAGGATGTCAGAAGCAGAGGGCCACTGGAGTACACCACCGAAGTGCCTCTGTTCCCATGTTTCTGGAGCACCAGAATGTTCCTGTTCTCTCAGGAGATAAATTTACAGGGCCAAGACTCATGATACCATCCCTGATGTACTGTTGAGGAAAAATTACATGTAACTGTGACTTACAGTTGTTTGACAGCCAAGTAAATTTACAATTCCCAACTCTATATAGCAATGATCTAATAGGATTTTCATTGCTCATGGTTTTTCACTCACTAAGATCTACCCAGATATTCTTTCCAACTGTAATCTCTGGTGCCCACTCCACAGAACCCAGGTTTGACTGCTGCCTATAGAGCCTACCTATATTCTACTTCATTGACTGTGATCATAAATTACCCAGATGACAACTTAGCTGTTATGTCTCCATGAAGCACCCTGCACAAGGTCAGAGGCCATCAGATACTTCATAAACAGGGGAAACACAAGCAGGCCCACAAACACCAAGCTCCTGATGATCCACCAGGTGATGAGCTAATATGCCAGTCTTCACCAGAACAGAGGCTTGGCTGAGCCAGGCTCCTCGGGTCACACCACTTACTACCCTTGAGACTTCCCAGCAAGCCAACCCAAAGCTGCTCTGGGCACATGACAGTTAAAGTCATCTGTTCATCCACTACACGTATTACAACTGATTTCCCTTCCCCACTGCTCCTCCTATCTCAGGTGACTTTGTTGAACACTGTCAGAATCCAGTTTGGGGGAATCTAGTTTAGAGTTCATTTTCTCCTTCAGCAGATCCTCAACTAAAAATTACCTTTCAAATCATACACTCCACCTAGACTTCAAGGCAAAGGGTCAGGAAATAAAATGGATTTTCCAATGAGTCTTGTTTGTTTTCCAGAAGACCACCTCCAAACACAGAGAAAGAAGCAGCTTGGCTTCTGTTGTGAGTCTGGACATTGCTCCCCGGCTTCCATCTCAGCCTCATGGGCCCTGCCTTTAATGTGGCATATTATTTAATTTAAAAGAGGTTAGAAAGGAAACTTTTGCCCTGAATGTAATTCAAATAAAATCCACTTGCCACTCCCCAGCACCTCCCAGCACTAGCTGGCACTCGACAGCACAAGAAGAAATCGAGGGTCAGCTCACCTGACCTCTCAGAATCTTAGTCCTAGATGATACCAAACTACAAGACAGAGAATCCAGGCTGCACTCACAGAGGAGGAACTTGCTCAGCTGTGACTTGGGAGAAAATACAGTAGAGGCCCCAATCCTTCTGATGGGCTTCCTATTATCAATGAGGTGCCATCCCTCCATCTACTTCTTTCTGTCCTATCCAATACGGCTTAGAAGCAGCTTTCTAGGAGATCCTGTAAAAACTTTACTGAAAATTTTCAAGGAGTATTTTAAATGGAGACAAAACGCCAAGAAAATGCCCATGTTCATCTTTGTCAAGGGTCTGAAACTTAAAATAAAAATCATAGTTCAAGATATTTCTTGGCTAACATTTTCCTATCTAATGTGAAAGGCTCCAATGCCCCAAGTCTCAGCCTTGCTGAGTTCAGGATTCTCCCTCCACTAGTTACAAGGACACATGTAAGCAAAAAGTCAACTTGGGACAAAGGCTATGGTGGTAAAACCGGAGAAGCTAAGGTATCTGGACAACTTCCCACAGAGCTTCAGCTAGTTTCAAAACCACATTAACCACCTACTCTTTTAACTGATTTCTCAAATCCCAAGGAGTTAAACAAATCATGCAATACAATCAGGACTGTCTGTTAAACTTTTCCCTAGAGCTGCTACTCAAATGAGTACAGAAGCTTCCTGGCCTTGGGAGCTAGGATTCTAAAGTGTAGGCCTCAGCCCTGGCTGGAGCAGAGGGATGAGTAGGGTGGGAAGGCCCAGGGAAGCAGCACCCATTCTGGTCCCTGGGCAGCTCCTTTACCTGTTTCCACTGGGGGGTGGGAGCAGGGTGACCCTGCTCAGGAAGGCAGCAGGACGGCTGGCTGACCCCACGCTCTTGTGTCGGCTGTGACACACAGGCCAAGTATGGGTGGGGGACAGGACATGGAGACAAAACAAAATAAAATACATTAAAGTAGGAGAAGACACAAAAAAGATACTTACGGTGGACAGACACACATCTAGGAGTGGGGAGTGGGGGCAGACACAGAATTAATTCTTAGAAAGTTACATTTACAAAGGAAACAAAATACCCCAACCCCACAAACCAAAAGTAAATGCAAAAGGAAAAAACGAGTAAATCAGAAGCTGTAATTTTCACTCTCCTCTTCCCTAGCTCAAAGCTCTGAACCTAAACTACTAATTCTGGTTTGGAAAACTAATCTTTCTACTCAAAATGACGAACACAACCTTCCCTTAGGGGCAAACTTCCTCCCATGGAGAGCATTCCAGATCTCCTGAGATGGGGCAGATCCTGTGGTTGCTAGAGCTGCCGGGCAACCTCAGATGTCTACCAATGAATATTATTATTCCTCTCTATGAGCCACAATACATATGATTGGAGTGTAAAAATTAATAACCAAAGGCTAAATGTGAGAAGTTAATTATGGCCAGGCTCTAAGCAAAGTCATTACCACCCCCCCCCCCCGAACCCCTGGTCCTGAGAACAATGGCTGATATTGTATGGAAAAGTTGAAGAAAGAGAGTAAAAGAATAAAAAGAATGGGCTTCCTTTCCTTTGGATGTTCTCTCAGGTCATTAGGGAGTTTTATAAGAAACTTCCTGTGTTAATCTCCAAATCTAGCACCTCCTCTTATAAGCAAGAGGAGGGACAAGACCCAGCAAAGACATCTCAAGTCAAATGCTCCTGTCTAGCACTCTCAAGTTAGTATCCATGATGACTCTTTAAAATGTTCATAACTCCTGACCTAGTTCGAGGATAGCCTATGAAAACCATCCACAACACACAAAAGAAGATTTATCACAAGAACATTTATTATCTTTGTACTTTGTCATGAAAGATGAGCAACAACAAAAACATCCAACACTAGAGGAAAAGTGAAGAAAGGCATGGTACATACACATACTGGAAGATGCTTGTAGAGTTTGGAACAACATGGGAATATGCCCAAAGTTATGTGAACAAAGCAGAACAGAAAGCATATATTCCGAATGACCTCAACCATGAAAACAAAAATGCACTGAAAACAGACTAGAAAGAAATATAACAAAATGTTAACAGAATTAGAGGTGTCTTGATTACCTTTATTATTTTCTCCAGGATTTTCCTCAATACGTATCTACCTCTTCTATAATTCAAATATGTCTGCACATATGTGAGCATATAAATATGTATAGATATATATAAAACTTTAAATCCCTCTTCTGAATTTTTGCCACAGACACCTCAGACACGAATGGTAAGGAGAAAGCAGTGCTGAAAACATAGGAGGAGCTTATAAAATGCTTTTCTCTGCCACAGTCAGACAAAGAGAAAACCAGACATAGTCTTGAGCGCATGAGTGCTCAGCTGAGACACACCCCATCCCACTTCATTTGACTGAGAAGACCCCTCCTTCCTATATGGCCAGACCAAGCATGGATGGGTGAGATACAAAGTGGGGTTTACCTGTCTCCTCATGCCAGTGGACTGTGGTGGTGCATTCTCTTCAAATTTGGCCAGCAGCTGGGTCGCCATGTACTTCACTTTGTTCTGATTGCCAAGGGCCACATCCATCCTCCTGTCTGTCAGAGTGCTCACCAGTGTGGGCCTTCCTCCTCTGTAGCCCCGGGGCACGTCCTCCTGACAAACATCAACACCCAAGAACCGGCCTCGGTTAGAGGAGCCCCCTACAAATGCCCTTCCCTCAAAGAAGGAGTGAAGCCAGTGCCTGGCATGGTGGCTGCTATTTCTGCTTTAGGTTAAGCTTAACAGCTCTCTTCAAGGTTCTAATATCAACATGCAGTCAGCAAGACTTTGGTGCATGGGGCAGTATAAAAAGGTACTCGGACTTGGGCTGGTGTTGTCCTATCTCAGGAAAGCCACCGCCCCCGGCCAAATGTAAACTTCTAAGGAGAGAGGAAAGCACTAGTGCACATGTGTGTATGCTCCTTTAGATGCTCCCCGAAACACTGAACAAAAGCAACAGCCCACTGAAAAAGCAGCTGCCCACAGAAATTCTCATAAAAATGAATATGAAAAGATCTAGCAATACCAATTTGGAAGTTGACTTCAGCCCGAAAGGGCAATTCAGTATGACCATTCCAGCAAATCCCAGATAATTCTTACCTCTTCCGACTGACTGGTCTTTCTCCTCTTTCCAGCACCATCCAAGTCCTTTTCCTTTTTATCCTATACCAAGAGATGAGGGAGACTGCATTATCCTAGTCACCATACCTCGCCTTTAGGTTTGTAGCAGGTCAAAAACCTCTTCCATTTTTTTTTTAAGGTTTTATTTATTTATTTGACAGAGAGAGAGAGCACACAAGCAGGGGGAGTGGGAGAGGGAGAAGCTCCCGCCAAGCAGGGAGCCCCGATGTGGGGCTCGATCCCAGGACCCCAGAATCATGACCTGAGCCGAAGGCAGACGCTTAACCAACTGAGCCACCCAGGTGCCCCAAAAACCTCTTCCATTTACCTTGGGAGAACGCTTCCGAGAGATGGTCTGTCCAAGTTTGCTGAGGAAGGAGATGGGGGATTTGGTGCTGGCTATAAGAACTGCTTTCTCCTCAGCATTCAGGTCCAGGGCCTCTGTGAACAGGAAGCAATGTTGAGCACAGCCCTGGAGGGGGCTTCAAAGTACTGACCAGAACTACACTCCTTGCAGGAGGCTCACAGAACCTCAGAAAACTCTAAAGGTTCATCTGCTTTGACAAAAGCAAGAGGAACTCAGCAGGAAATTCCACCACGGAAATGTACACTAAGGTCTGGATGTTGACCTTTCTCTTTTCCAACCATGTTAACAGAACCAACTCTTTTTTCTAATCCACTTCGGTCACAAAACCCTCCACTTTTCCTTTTCAAAAGTTGGAATCTGCTTATGATTGTTAGTTATAACAGACTGCTAAAGCCTCACCTTCGTGATAAAAATTTCAAGGTAGAGGGAGAAAGGGAGGAAGGGTATATAGCTTAGGGTCATTGCCTTTGATTATGCAGACCCCATGTACTTAGGTGCACATAGTGGGAAGGCTCTCCCTAAATAGGTATACTGATGTTAGAGTTGTGGATTCCTGTTGTAAGAACTGCATATCTGGTCAGAAAAAGCCATGGACATCTATAAGAGTACACAGGCTAGAAGATACTGGAGAACCACAAACTCTGTGGATTCCAATGTTTTATTAGTAACAATAGTAATTTTAAAAGTAACTGAAACTAATACTATACTGCTGATATTAAATGCTTCTGTTTGTCAGACATTCTCCTTAGCACATCACAGTTTTATGTTATATGTACATAAAATATGTACCATTTTACGGATGAGGAAACTGAGGCACAGGGAAATTTAGTAACTTGCCTAAGCTCAAACAGGTGGAAGTACTGGGAAATAAATCCAGGTTGGGTACCATGGTCAACACTCTAAAGCATTACGTATACTTACTCCAGGGACAATAAATGACAACAGGAATATTTTTTTGGTAGCATTCTGGTAGACTGAGGCAGCAGGCTGAGGGCCAAACAAAGATGGAAAAACACTAAAAGGTTGGAGAAGAGAGAGAAGCCAGAGAAGGAACAGTTACAGGAGAAAGAGAATGAAGCAAACAAGTACAAGACCAGAGAGGCCAATGAGAAGAGGGAATTTCAAGGAAAAGGACACAATTCCATAGTGCTGAATAATGCAGAAAAGCCAAGTGCGTGAGCGATGCAAAATGAGAAAAGAAATGCGGATTTGGTGATTCTTCATGACTGTAGAGAACAGTTTTGGCAGAGCAGTAAAAAAGAAGCCGGGTTGCAAAGTGTTACAAAGTTTAGGCCTTAGAAGGTAGAGGTCCTCACTGATATGAGGAATTCTTAATCTCAGGAAACAAACTGAGGGTTGCTGGAGTGGTGGGGGTGTGGGAGGGATGGGGTGGCTGGGTGATAGACATTGGGTAGGGTATGTGCTATGGTGAGCGCTGTGAATTGTGCAAGACTGTTGAACCACAGACCTGTACCTCTGAAACAAATAATACATTATATGTTAAAAAAAAAAGAAGAAGAAGAAGATAGCAGGAGGGGAAGAATGAAGGGGGGGAAATCGGAGGCGGAGACGAACCATGAGGGATGATGGACTCTGAAAAGCAGACTGAGGGTTCTAGAGGGGAGGGGGGTGGGAGGATGGGTTGGCCTGGTGATGCATATTGGGAAGGCCCGTTCTGCATGGAGCACTGGGTGTTATACACAAATAGTGAATCATGGAACACTACATCAAAATCTAATGGTGTAATGTATGGTGATTAACATAACATAATAATAATAATAATAATAATATAAAAACTTATCAAATCACTATGTTGTAAAAAAAAAAAAAGTCTCACAGAGGAGGAGTTCTTTGTGATGCTATTGTTACTTGGAGAAATAGTTTGATGACTGAGTAAGTTTGGGAAATGTCCAGTTACAGAAAATTATGTGAGCTTAACTACTTCAGGATTTTTCAGAGCCTTTAGCTTGTTAAGGTACACTGTGATTCTCTAAGGGGGAACAATATAAGGTAGCATTTTTCTAATGTATGTGACCAAGGAACTCCACACTCCCTCCACACTCTACTGCCACTTTTTTTCTTAACTGAAACTCCAGTTAATATTTTAAGAAATGACGGCTCTTTGGGGCGCCTGGGTGCTTAGTCTGTTAAACGGCTGACTTCAGCTCAGGTCATGATCCCAGGGTCCTGGGATCAAGCCCCGCGTCAGGGTCCCTGCTTGATGGGAAGCCTGCTTCCCCTGCTTGTGCTTGTGTGTGCTCTCTCTGTGTCAAATAAATAAGTAAAATCTTAAAAAAAAAAAAAAAAAGAAGGTAGAGGTCCTAGTGAGTACTAACTACTTTTCAAAGAGCCTGGTTCTGAGAGAAAGGGTATGAGAAAGTAGTAGAGTCAAGGCAAACATTTTGCAAAGGAATGATTTTTGCATATTTATAGATTCAGTGAGAAAGTCTGGGGAAAGAAAGAATGGCTGAGAATATACTAGCAGAGAAGGAAAAAATAATGGAGCAAAGTGCTAGGGCCTTACCCAGACAGCCAACAGAGAGTAAGCGGAGGTTTGCTTTTGGTGGTACTGATGAAGGACATGGTTAGAAGAAAGAAAAGCCAGGCAACAACAAAGAAGAAATGGTGGCCTTCCACAGCAGTGCCCAACAGCCCTTACCACTGGAGGGGAGTGAGTCCTTGAACATCTCATAGAACTGAGTCAGGTACATCACCATAGAAAGCTTGTCAGGCTCCCCCACCGAGGCCATTTCTTTGCCTGTCATGATGGGAGAAATGCCCAGCTCCTTCTCGGCAATATCAAAGGCCAGCTGGTTATTCTTCTCCACATTTTGCTCATCCAAAGAATCAAAATCTCTAAGAAACAGAATGAGAAAAACATATCAACAAGGGCTGCTTGTCCTCAAGCCAGAAAACACAGTATCAGTGGAGTCGTCATCATTTCTTGGTCTTTCAGCTACAATCCAGGGTGCGGGGGTATCACCGCAATCTGACAGCCAACCCGTTCATCTCACCTTTTGGTCTCCTCCCTTTCACTAAGAAAATGCAACTCATCCTCAAGGAGAAGAAATGATTAAAGATCTACTCAGGAAGGAAAAAAGGGGGGGAAAGTTGAATTACTCTCATTTTCCCAATAACATAAATTTCTTACTAAAAGGTAAGCTCAAGAATAGAACTATCTTTACTACATATCCTCTTGTACCTTGTATGTGACCTGTACGTATTAAACTAATGCTCAATAATGATAAATATCCAATTTGGATCAGACTGCTTCTAAAGGCCTAGGACTATCACTCGCTGTGTCATTTGGACCAGACGTGCTGTTGATGCACTACATCAGCTCTGGTAATCTTATTCAGCCTTCTACTTGAAGGGAAATTCCAAAACCTTCCTCAAAAGGTTTTTCCACTGCTAAACTTCCTGAGTATTCCCAAGTATTTAAATTAACAAACACTTCCCACTGGGTCTCAAACTTCTTGCCATTCAATCAAGTAGAGACTGACATTCTTCTTTAAGAGGTGATTGCAGATCAACAGGGCAGGCCTTATTTTGTGTTAACCTACTACTGACTCTGTATCAAGGTTTTCATTTTTCTAAATGCCTTTTCTCTATAGATTAAGCCTATTAAACCAGGAAGGCCTCATCCTGAATGAAGTCAGTATAGTCTAAACAGTGCCAAATCACCTACTCACTGCTTTGTGTTCTGTTACACAGAACTTCCCTAGACCTTCTGCAGGCAGCCTTCTCCCTTTACCACCCCCCAACCTCACCTGCTAGGTTCCCTTCAGCTACTTTTGCCTCCATCTCCTTTTCTTTCCTGACTTCCCTTTGGAAGAGAACAGACTCACCCAGTCTTCTTCTAAAGCACTCTGTGCCATTCATCACCATCCTTCTGAAACTACTCCCTCTTCCTCTCCCGTCCTTTCTTGATGAGGGGGAGGGGGGCTTACTTTCACTTACCATTTGCCAACCTCTGCATTAGCTAAGGGACAGGAGCACTGGAGATCACTTACTTTTATCCAAACAAATCAGAAATTCCCATTCCTAAAGCATACTATATGTAGGGCTGTTTCTACTAGCTCTTGCCTCATTAGTTTATAACCTAATATAAATAAGAACTATGTTTCTTAGGTTCCCTTAAGCAATCATTAAAGCAAACGCACAAATCTGGGCCCTAATGATAAAAAGACAGGCAGCCAAAATAATTCAACAGGCTTTTCTTCTGTTTCTGGATCTTCTTGTTTGGCTTCCATGGTAACGAATGCCTATGGGGGAAATCTGAGTGCATTGGTCACTGTAGTTGACCTGGGGTCATCCTATTGTAGTGATTCTGCATTTGGGTGAGTAAAGAATGGCCAAAAGAGAAGGTGTCACTGATATAAGTGGGTAAAGTGGCCTGAATCTTGTGGGCCTGGGCAGAGTATATTTGCAAAAGGTGCAATTCTTAACAGAGATAATACCAATGAACTATGATAAATCGGGTTAAGTATTCACTGTTTTCTGTTTTGCTGGTAGTGACATATTTTTGCCTTCATCCAGCCAAATGTTCTAGTGAGGTTTTCCTTATGACCAAAAGCATCTGAGAGATAGCTGGCCGAAATGAAGAGTTCAACCTGGGGCCAAAAACATAGTTTTCCTTTGTGTGATGTTAATAGGCCCAGGTGGGTGTTAAAACCAGTTTTTGACCTTCTGAGTGCTGTGATTTTTAAAACCTCAGCTGGATTCAGCTACATGATGCTTGACAGAAGTTTTAAATATAACTAAACTGAAATTAATCACTGCCTTCTATAAAAAAGTATCTTGCTATGTATCTCATTCTAGATAAAAATATAAAATTTGGCTGATAGCAAAATACTCTGAGGTCCTGAGGGAATACAAAATGAAACACAAAGTTTGTCACAACTTACATCAGATCAGGGCGGTATCTATGGATGATCGCACATAAGGCCAGTCCACTTTTCCAAGACATAGTGAGATCTGTCACATTTACCCCTGCATAGCCATCTGTCTGCCTTTGGCACCAACCCAGCAGTTTGCTTGAACGAGCTACAGACTCTAAAACAACAAAAAAATTATCAGAAGTGTGGTCACTTGGTAGCACTGATGTAGGATCCTCTTTGTAGTACACATATCCAGTTTGAAAAATTACTAAAGGTAGGAACAAAATAGTTGTCACTGTTTCAAAAGTAAAAAGCTATGTAACTGGTATCACGATAGTGGAATTTTAGGTAGGTAAGAATTCACCCAGACTCTGATGTCAATGCCAGACCCTCTAACAGCATAAGTCACAAGAGGGATGATCTGGATCTGTTCATGCTAAAGCCCAGGGTCCTGGCAGCACTCTTGGATACTGACTTAGATGGAAGAGCGCCATCTACTGAGCTGTCACCTTCATTTGCAGAAGGTCTAAGATTTCCCTGGAGAGTTGCTTGGCAGCTAGCTGAGGAATCTCCTTCCCTTCAAAGTAATATTGAGAGGAGTAGAGCAGAAAAGAGTCCATTCTCTCTAGCAACACATTAAACCAATAGCAAGCAAAGCCCACTCTTACACGTTCCAGGGTATAGAGTGATTTGTCAAATGAAGTAACTGTAGGATTACACTGGCAAAGCCAAGGACCCCAGACCAGAACAGTCCCTCCGGCCAGGATTGGCACTCTATATTATAAATGATCACATCTTGAAAAAGTGAACACATCAACAACACAAAAAAGTGAACACAATACTTGGATGTTTTCCAGTTCACTGCTGTGTCTTCTTGAACACAAAGGGCCTTTCTAAAAGTCCGTTTTTCTTAATTGCATCAGAGGAGCTCTGATATGGAGCATTTAGAAGAATCTGTGAACTCCCATTTGTGTCCAAGAACGTCTGTTCTCTTACCTTTGGCAGCTGGAAATGTCTAACCTTGTATGAAGTCATTTAGTGATTTGGGAACATAAGATAAAAACTGCGTATCATAAAAATCCTATTTCATTTAAGTCTTTTGGTGAAAAGGTATTCTAAAATTATACAGAGAAACACTCCTGCTGTTATCATCATAAATCAAAAATTTACTTCATAAATTAACTTTATTCAGATGTCTCCCAAGTCTGTATATCCATCAATCCAATATGTATTGGGCAACTTCAATATTCCAGGCTCTAAAATGATAGTGACAAAGGTATATTGTCTGCTTTCAAGTAGAAGACACCCGAGTGAAGAAAGATGAAAATGTTTCCAACTGCCTGTTGGTTGTGAAATTCACCTTGACAATCCAATAACATGTCAAACTCAAAACAGACCCAAACCTTCTCATCCTCCCATTTCCTTGTCCAAACTGATGGCAGCAGCATCTGCAACCATCTCTTGACCCATGCAACCAAACTGCTGATGCCTACTGATTCTGGCTCTTTAATATACTCTCAGTCACATAATTAATAATGACAATGACAAAATGGCTGCCATTTGTCACCACAGTGTGAAGTAACTATTATGCCCATTTTATAGACAAGGAAACCAAAGTTCACAGATGCAAAATATCCTCTTCTAGCCCACACACTTCACAAATAGCAAAGCTTGGACTCGGACCCAGTTGCACCTGGCCCCAAAGTCAGAGTTCTTCTAACTATGCTCCATTCCCTTGTCCATCCTCAACATCAGCATCAGATTCAGGCCTTCACCACCGCTAGCTTGACTGCTACAGTGTATTTCTAACTAGTGGCCCTGCCTCTGGCATTTCCCTTCTCCATCCCATCTTACATATAGCTGACCAGGTATATTCATGTTGCTCTCCTCTTAAAAAAATCTACAGGGGTCCTTCAGTGAACACAAAATATAGAATGGCTTTTATCTCTATAACTGTATCCCGGCAATGTCATAGTGCTCAGCTAAAAATGCCACTGCTTTTTCCTAAAGCTTCCCCTAGAAACCTTAGTTGGTGTGTGTGCACTCACTTCCTTTCTCTCTCTTTCTCTCTCAACAGCATTTGTACCTGATTTCTCTTTATACCCTCCTAAAACCTTAGGCTGAGGGTTTTGCCCTGACATTCCTGAGATTTTTGGCTGGGCAATTCTTTGTTGTGGGGAGCTGACTTGTGCACTGTAGGTTTAGCAGTGTCCTTGGATGCCAACAGCACCCTCCCCTAGTCATGACAATCAAAAATGTCTGCAAACACTACCAAATGTCCCCTGGGCCAAAATCACCCCTGGTTGAGAACCACTGCCTATACAGTACTGTGTGCACTAACAGCTCAATGAGTAAGTATGAACTTCTCTGAATAGGTTACTTGCATTTAAAAGGTCACTACCAGAACTCACCATTGCGAGTCAACTTTGGGGTAGTTCGGGAATTCACCAGGTTCTCCATTTCCAGACGAATATCTTTTGTTTCCCCAGTATCATATAAATGGCGCACCTGGCAGAAAGTTAAGAAGGAAAATCAAACACCACGCAACAAGTTCCCATCTGAGAGCAAAATGAAAGACTAAGATAGCAGGTTGGGCAAAGTTCAGATAAAGACAATGACCTTTAAATCCTTTCTGGTATGTGGTGGGGTTACATATAAATAAATACATATTAGTGTAAAAAAAAATTGTGCTAAAAATTAGCTACTCAGCCAAGGAGGGCCCTCTGATAGTCACTATTGGACCATTAATACTGCCCATTGACAGCAGGTCTCATGGGCCCCTTATATAAAGGATATAGAAGGCTTAAAGCCATAAACTTGCAGAAAGTGAATAAAAAATTACACAAGTACATAGGCAAATATGTTGAATGGGCTGCTTTCTAAAAATTGTTGGGCTCTTCGGGATTATTGCGCTTTGTCAAATGTCATTCTTAATGCAATTATAAGGCTTTAGACATCGTGGGAAATAACTCAGCAGCGCAACAAAACTGACCAATGGTATCTTTAACTTGCAGAGAGCGTCCTGACTTTCAAAGTTCCTTCAAATGAACAATCTCATTTGCCCTCACAATGGTCCTGTGAATAGCAGGACTATTATCTCCACTTTATCGATGAAGAAGCTAAGGTTCAGAGAAGATGGGATGACATGTCCATGTCAAAGTGACTGGTGGCAATAATGCAAGAAGTCCCGTTTTCTGAGTAGTGAGCAAGTGCTCTCTCCCCCACAACATGCAGCTTGAATGGGGAAGCTCTGGAGAAAATCCTGGATCCACCATTTTGGTCACATGGGCTCTTCTGGCAAGTCATTCAACAACTTCCTCCCTTAGCTGCTCAATCTGTTGATGGAAAGTGATACCATTCCAGGGAGACATCTACTTGGATTATGAAAGAAGTGTGTGTATATGGTATTATTAGACACATTTCAGTGTTTCAGGGGCCTGATCCATCCTGAAAATGGGCCCAGGTGTAGATAACTGGCTAGAAGGCTCTTACCTGGCTCGGGCGGAGGAAGTTGATGTTAATATTGGGATATCTGGTGACAGGGTCGATACTGTATTGGCTGAAGTTTTTACTCACATTCTCAGGGGTGGTCTGAGGCAGCAACCTATAAATGCTTTCCCTGCAAGAACATATAACAATTTAGTCAGAGCAGTGACAAGCACCATACACATCTCCCTCTCCTTTCATAATATTCCTATTTTTTGACAGTGTCCTGAATAATCTGAAGGATATGACAAATCCTCATCCTTGACCATTTTTCTCCAAACCTACATCAGCCCTTGCTCCAATTCCCACCACACCAGTGATTCCACAGGCACTGGACTGGTTAAGGACCAGTAGCAAGAGCAAGTACACTGTGGTGGGCTGGGATAAAAAGCCTGATTCTAATTTAAAAGGCAACTAATTTACTGTTTTGTTTTGTTTTTTCAAGTAGGCCAGTATTTAATTTTTAAGAAAAACACAGATGAAAAAAGAACTTGCCACCAAACTTGCCCAGAGTACCTTAGGTAACAGGCTTAAAATGCTATCAACCACCAATTACACCCAGGAAATCTTATATTTCTCTCGTTTTCTAGTCAAGGCATCTGTCCTTTATTAGCAAACAAATCCTAGGATTCTTACCTTGTTTGCAATAATCTGCTTTAACATATCTGACATTTAAAAGCTTGAGAAATGTTTACAAGCAGTTTGGGGTTTTCTTTTGAATTTAAAGTCACTTCTTGTTTCTTTTCTTATGTTAGTATGTCCCCTGCTACCACACTGATTTCACTGGCGTAAGTCTTTCTACTTTAAGGACAGGAAGATTTAATGTACTATGCTTATATATTTGTTCATGTGACTGTCATAAAGGAATCAGATACTGTTCTTTAATGGAATACAAAAATTCAGATACCATCTGTCAGTAACTAATTTGGAAAAAAAAGAAGTGCACTTAAATTAGTCTTTACATATCCATGATTTTATTAGTCAATGCTTTTCTTTTCTTCTCTTAAATATGAAAACATCTTTAATTAAGAAAGAGAGTGAGAGAGAGAGAAGAAAGAAAACATGTACTCTGCCTGAGGAGCAAACCACTCATCACTCCCAGTTTTCTCATGGAAGGGATCCCTGGATATTTCCCATTACCTCTCGGCCAGGACCTCCAAGGGGCTTGTTCCTAGAGACCAACTTCGTACCATCCAGGCTGAGTCCATAGCAGCTAGAAATCCTCGAGCTATTCCTGTTCCCATTGGCCAAAAAGGCTATGAAGGAGACAGAAAACAAAAGAATTAAAATAAATTTCCTTTCAATAGAGAGGAACTAAATTAATAAAGTTTGCTGTTGACAGTACTTTTTGGCAACTGTTCAGATATTGGGCTTTCCCACTTCATAAACTGGTAGAGGAGCAAATCACAAAAGTTGCAGAGCTTCCATCCATACTTAGCAACTTGCCTACTTCCTGGTGTATCTCCTGCAGGGAGTCTACCTCTGCTGCACAATGTTGTAGACACTCATTCTACAACCTGGGATATTCACGTTTGTTCCTAATTATTACTGCTTCCTTACTTGCCTCTACTATAAAGCGCTGCCACCCTTACCACTCACCTCTAGGAGGCTGTCCCCAACCAGGGCCACTAACAACTGGTGTCCATTCTGCTCTCGCACCAAGGCAGCATTCTCGGAGGCGTACATACAAGTGAAGTCGAACATGGCCACATCAGGCTGCCCATAGTGATTGATGGCAAAATCCAGAGATGGCAGCTGCTGCTGAGTGGAGAAGTCTGCCGCCTCCCTGGCATAGTTCAGCAGAGCCTCTCGGTCCACATTCTCCCGGGAAAGCAAGAGCTCTGTGTCGGCATAGTCCTGTCTCCAGAGAGAGAAGAGGGTCGAAGGAAAAGCCCTGTTAGAGCCACACTACACATGTCAGATGTAAGCCAATTTCACAGCCTTTCCCTTCTTCCTAAAGTGATTTCATCTTCCAAAATAAGTCTTCTACCCAAAGAGAAAAGGGGGAGGCGGTTTCTTTTTAAAAATTATTTCTTTTTAAAAAGATTATTTATTTATTTGAGAGAGAGAGAGCACATGAAGGGGGTGGTGCAGAGGGAGAAGGAGAAGCAGGCTCTCCACTGAGTGCAGAGCCTGATGCAGGGCTGGATCCCAGAACCCTGAGATCATGACCTGAGCCGAAGGCAGATGCTTAACTGACTGAGCCACCCAGGTGCCCCTTCTTTAAATTAAAAAAGAAAAAAAAAAAGATTTATTTATTTGAGAGAGAGGGCGAGCACGGGGGCAGGGGGATAGGAGAGGGAAAGAGAATCCCAGACAGACTCCCTGCTGAGCATGGAGCCCAGTGACCCCACAACCCTGAGATCATGACCTGAGCCAAAATCAAGAGTCAGAGTCAGATGCTCAACCGACTGAGCCACCCAGGTGCCCCATGGGGGAGGCTGTTTTTAAAAGAGCACAGGTTTTGCTGCCTGGTGTTTCCATTTACTTGGAGCATGTCATACTTCTTTAATCTTGCCTAATTCAGCTCATGGAGTTGTTTTGAATACCAAATAAAATAATTTATGTGATGGTACTTTCTAAACTGAAAACGCATTTTATAATTTATGTTATATTGGCGATCATTATCTTCTGGGTAGCAAATAGCTTCTGGCAAACGGGACCACACAAAATACTCAGCATTGTGTAATTCATCAAACCCAAAGGAAACACCCAAAAGCTCCAGTGCCAAAAAGATGTGAGGTGGGAGCAATGGCAGTCCAGGGGGCTGGGAAGAAATATACTGAAAATGGAACAGAGGTTTTCAAAATAATACATAAGATTCTGAAAGGCTCCACAGAAACCCACCAACAAAGAAAAACAAAGATGAGAGGAAAAACAGCTTTCCACATAAAGGACTGAAAAACTTTTCTGTTTTGGAGATTCCTGGCTAACTGAGCCAAATCTTTATTCTCCTAAAGTGGGGCCTAAAGTTTGTTTCCAAGTGTCACTCTGATGGTACTTCCAGCTACCACTACAAGAAGTTAATGGTCAAAACACAAATACTCAAGTTGGTCCTTGAAACCGTGTTTGTTCAAGTAAGTGACCACAACTGGTTTAGTATTTAGCAGCACACACAGAAACGTGGCCCCTGCCCTCTAAAAAAATAAATAAAAAGCAAAAGTAAATCAGGTCTTGGCATTCTAGATTGCTCCTACATATAGCCACGCCTTGGAGATACTGCAGTTGCAGACCACAGCAATATAGCCAGTCAAATGAATTTTTTTGGTTTCCCAGTATATATGTTATGTTTACACTATGCCATAGTCTATTAAGTGTGCAATAGCATTATGTCTGAAAAAACAATGAAGCTACCTTGACTAAAAAATACTTTATTGCTAAAAAATGCTAACCATTATTGGAGTTTTCAGCGAGTTATAATCACTGATCACAGATCACCATAACAAATATAATAATGAAAATGTTTGAAATATTGCCAAGAATTACCAAACTATGACACAGAAACATGAAATGAGCAAATGCTGTTGGAAAAATGGCACCGACAGACTTGTTCAGGTTGCCACAAACCCTCAATTTTGTAAAATAAATAAATAAGTAAACAAATAAATGCAGTAACTGTGAAGCACAATAAAACAAGTTTCAACTGATAACCACTGTTCTGCCTAAGATGGTAGATTTGTCTTAACTTAGTCCCAAAGTATACCACCGGGTTCACTGGCTATTTCTTATTGATAAAGCATCCAACCAAGTACATCTTGCTTATGTTTTCGGCAGGATGGGCTGTACAAACTGCTCTGTCCTGTTTCCTTATATAACATAAAGGAGCTCAAGGCTGAGAAACACTTATGAGGTCCGAGGTCCGTGACTGGGAAGAGGCTGTGTGGCAGGCACGTGCTCACTGGCTTGCCCCCAACACTGCTCTCAGATACAGCAACAGTATCACTCAGTCCTGCAGAGACAAAGGCACCCTGAAATTCAGCCACGAGTCTGTGGTAAGAACTGTACAGGCCTGAATCAGCACATCTGGTGCCTCTTCTCTCCAGCTCATCACATGGGGATAGTAATTCTGATTCAGACTGAACACCAAATAAGACTTAAGAGACTCTCCTTAAAGAACCACCTATCCTGTGGTTCTCTGATTTCATATTCTGTTCATCGTCTCAGGGAATGTCATACAATTATCCACCTGGAAAAAAGGCTGAGCCAGACCTCTCATCATTGTTTACGAAGAGGTCTAAATATACCCTGATCCAGCCAGTGTTCCCTAGACTTCTGATAGACATATCTGCAGTAAAACCAGAACCATTCTCAGGCTTCCAGGTCAAACTCCCTTCCCCCTACCACCCTCTCCCAAAAGACGACCTATTAACCAACTACTAATCAGTCATATGTGGAATTAGCTAGAACGACAAACCAAATCACCTAAAATTAAACTGAGTATCTGAGATAACTGTTATCTGAGATTTGTTTTAGAACAATCCAATGGCAGGAGTGGGGAGTGGGTGAGGTACTACTGAAATAATATTGGCCACGTGTTGATAATTCTTAAAACAAAATAATGGGCACATGGGGGTTCACTATATGATTCTCTCTACTTTTGTTTACATCTTAAATTTTCCATAACAAAAGATTTTTAGAAGTTAAACCAAAAAAACATTAGAGGAGTACATGTTTCTAGGAGATGAGTTGGGTGCTCATTTTCATTCCCTTGCAGGAAAAACTCATCAGACAATAAAATTCTTTCTCTTAGTGGTCACATTAACTAGTACAACATAAAAAGAGGTTTGAAAGAAATCCATTACTCACGTGCAGTATCACCCCTTTGTCTAGCAAACTCTGCTTTTTGGCTGTCATAACAAAATAGTGTGTGTCGTCTTTGTAGTAGACAATATTCTCCAAGTCAATACCTACAACCAGAAAACAAATCTGTCACACGGGGGCTTGCTGAAATGAAGGTACGTTAGGGCAGCCAGAAAGCTTACATGGGTCCTCAGAGACCAGGGCTGTAACACTCTGGGCAGAGAAAGTGAAAATAAAGAGATGTCTGAGCCCAGATTCTTACTTCCTGCATATTCAGTTCATAAGAAGAGGGGGAGCTATGTTTATACCTGCACTGCTCTATAATTCACTTGATACCCTAAGTTATCCTAAAAACCATGATCAATAGTAAGCAGAAATAGAAGGACTGGAAGAAAAAGAAAGGTTAACTTCTAGTAAGAGGTCAGGGTTAGTTCTCAAGTTAAATGTCTTTGACAGTCATCAAGGCAACTGGGAGAATCACCTCTGCTCTTAACAGGAGAGATAACTAGATGCCTAGAAGCAGAGCGTGAACTACTGATTTTTTAATTCAATAATCTAAAAAACAGATGTAATAGAAAGCAATCATGTTCTAGAAAACAGAGAAATGAAATCTGATGCACATTTTTGTGGTAGCAAAATAAGTTAATTTATTCAAAAGCTATCATACAACAATCTCATTCCGATCTAGCACATGGTTTACTTCATGTCCAAACTGGAACACCAGGAGACTGTATACTCAGTATCTAAAGTTAGGTTCTAGAGAACCAGAGAACCTACCAATTAGTAGCTTACTGCATTGAGCACCATCACTTAGAGCCACAGAATAGGGGAAAGTGTTGGAGAAGAGTTGCTAAAAGGCAGAATGAAACCTTAAAAACAAAGAAACAAACAAAAACCAAGCCCAGAGCAGCCCTGTCACTGTAAAGAGGATAAAGAATGCTAGAGGAGGAGACAGTAATACGGAAGCACTATAGAAAGAGCAGTGGGGCAAACAACAGTAATAATGCCAATGATCACCCACCCTACCAAAACCTCTGAGAGAAAAATCACAAGTAGTTATTTAAATTTCTATCCTTATTGCTTTGGAGGCATCCACACCAACCTGTGGCTTCCCTCAGTTCCTGGAAAAATTTTTGGTTGAATATAAAAGCCACACCACTGATCTCTTCCACTTTGGCTTCTGCTGTTGTATTTCGGTTAATAAAATTTGCTGTAATGGCAATGGCCAGCTTGCCACGAAATTCTTTCCGGCGAAATCCTGGAAGGAAAGAAATTTTCAGAGGTGACCACAGCTCGCTAGAGAAGAAGGAAGATCACTTCAAACATGAAGGGCTGTTGTTGAAGATATTAGGGAACATGCAGGATGGGAATCAATGGGAAAATTTTAGGCCAATTCTTATCTGAAAATAAGGTGTTTACCTGCCCAAAAATATATGAATTTCAGGAAAGAAGTCAAAGTCTCCCACATACTAACAATCTGAAATCTAACTGACCAGAATACTACTCAGTGCAAGGGAGTTCAAAAGAAAAGAAAAGAAAAAAAAGAAAAGAAAAGAAAAGAAAAGAAAAAAGAAAAAAGAAAGAAAGAAAGAAAGAAAGAAAGAAAAAGAGAGGAAAGGAAGCCACCAGCTTACTAAACTTAGATATAATCCTGCAGTGTCAACCAATTAATTACCTCCTAGTGCCTTAACAAGAGTGCCCTATAAGAAGTAACCCAAGTACCAGTTGGCTAGTGGAAGGCTGGGCCTGTCATTCAGTTAGAATAGATAGCAATGAACCAGGCAAAGCAGCATTGACCAATACCTTCCAAGGTGTTCCTACGGCCATCCCCTCCGATGATCACTTCAAATTCATATTCTGATACAGGATGGGTTTTGGGGTGGACCAGTGCCCGCCAACCTATCCCTGTGGACCAAAGTCAAAATGAAGGTCATCACCCAGACTATATTCATACACCTAAGACACCTCTGGATACAAACTGCACAAAACCCTAGGTTTTGAAAACTGAAAACACTAGGAGTAAAAGCATGGGGTACAAAACACAGGAAAAAATAAGCCTTGGAGAAGGCTCACAAAAGAATGTTCCCCATGACATGATTTGCTATAATGAATACAAGTGTTTATAACATCTAATACTATGTCAAAAGCCTCCTCATTAAGTCAAAAGTTCTTTGAAAGGTAGAGGCTATACAACTGAAGAAACCTCTTTAACTAGTTCTGAAAACAACTCACAGATTCTTGTACTTTTCTCCCTTGATCTCATCTTTTCTCACACACTCCATGCCCTTTTATCCCTCTTTCATTTGTCCAATCCAACTCACGTTCATTTTCTTGGTCCTCAGGAGGCTGTACAAGACCTTGGAATTCCACATTGACATGGATCTCAATGCCTAGGATCAGGGCTACTTTCAAAAGTATTAGTTGAAGCTGACGGATACCTGGGGGAACAAAAAGATGATACTAGTGAGGGCACACTTGAAAAGAGAGTACTAGTCAGCAATTACTGCTCAGGTTCTCACCTGGCCACCTACACAGTTTATCCAGATTCTCAAAGCCTCCTGTAGCTGGAGACATTTTCCAAGCCATGCTCTACAGCTTCTTTCTTTCTTTTTTAAGGGCAAATACAATTCAGTGCAAGAGATGTTCTAGAAAGACATGCAAGGCCACTCCCACCTCTTGGGTTGGGTATTCAAAACAACCAAAAGCTCTGAGACAACACAGATTGTGGCCACCACGAGACTCTCTTCCATCTTCCCGATTCAGACAGAGCCACGGTCATCTGGCAGAATCTACAATCCCAACGGGACATGGGACTTACCAGAGAAGGCAAAACGTGTGCACCCTCAGGTGGGTTTTCCAGTTTGATACAAAGGGGCAGCACTACTTCCTGAGATTCCACAGCATCTCCCTTTCATCCTATTACCTCCCTGATCTTCACACACTCATAAAGTGAGAAGGGGAAACCTTAATCCAACCTTAGTCTCTTACTGTTCCCCCTCCCACCACTGATCTACAGGTGCAGAAACTGAGGCTCAAAATGAGTGAAAATCTTGATCATTACCACAGTGAGATTTATTTATTTATTCTATGTCCAGTGAGTGACCACCAAGTGTCAGACACAGTAGCAGCCCCAGGCCTACTGAGATAAAAATCTAGTCCCTAATATAGGACCCTCTCAGTTCCAAGACAAATCCCACATAAGGCAGACAAATCCAGACAAATCAAATGACCCTTGGTCCTCTCTTAAGACCAATCTCACCTGCAGCCTCTGACTAATCTGGTACGTGCAAATCCTCATCTAAGTCATCTCGGTTCTTTCCCCCAGCTTATCAAAACCACCACCCTTCTGAGCTACACTCCTAAAGCCTCATTAAATCCCATTCTAGCACACATTTAATATTTGCAGACAACTGGATTCCAAGATGCTTTATATGTTATAACCCAAGAGATGGGCAGAGCGCTTTCTCTACCAATGGAATGTGGCAGCTGTTGGCCAGTGTTTGATAAACTGGCATAACTACTTCGAAGAGCAAACAGTTCAGCAGTTTGATGTATTTGCAGGACATATCTGGAGGAGCTCAGAACAAAAGTTCCTTGATAAGACTCTCCTGGAATCATTAATGATGATCAATAAACAAGACTGGAACTTCATAATGTAGACATTGTTCTGAATCACTTTTCAGATAGGCCACTTAACAGTCATGGAAAGAAAATCACTGTCTGCGTTGACTTGTATTTACTCTATAGGATCTCAGAAAAGCATAGGCCCAAGCTGAGCTTGGAGATGACAAAAATACAGCCAAGAGTTATCCAAGCTGTCGACCTCATGAGAATCACCTAACCAAATGAATCTCACTACTGACTTGCCATTGGTGACCAAACTAGGAGGCTGCTTCTAAAACTGTGGTTTCCCCAGTACTGTCCCCATAGCATTTTGTTCTTATGTTAGTAGAGTATCTATCATATCACATTAGAGAGAGCCTCATGCTTTGTGCTTCTTCCACTGGACTAAGAACCACCAGAGGGTCAAGGCTCAAATTTCCTAGCCTGGCCCCAATGCCCATCCCACCCACTGCAAGTGCTCAGGAAGAGTTCAAGACCTAACTTTAGAAATCCTTAAGTTAAACTCATGTCATAGGAGTTAACTTGCAATTAAGAATCCTAGGTTATAGACCACCTCATCACAGGTATTTTGACTCCAAGCACATTAGACATTAATGATATGAGAACAAACTGGGCTGTTGAGTATGAATTCCTCAAATAATCTGCCTCTTTCTACTGAACAAGTGGGTAGAGGGCGGGGTGGGATCCTGCAGGAGGACTGGTTTTACTTACTGATATGGTCAATAGCTCCAGCACAGAACTTGCCATAGAACTTCTTGGCACCCAGACCTCGCAGATCATGTATGGTGAATGGCCAGAGATGCAAGACATTGTTGCGGGAGAAGGCATCTCGTTTCTCAATAACGACCACCTTAGCTCCCAATAAGGATAAGTCAATGGCTGTACGGAGACCACAGGGGCCAGCTCCAATGATGAGACACTGAAAAACATAGCCACTTTCAGGGCAAAGGTAGCACCTCTCAGGAAAGCTCACATTTCTATAACAGTTTCATGATCTCATAACCATCATTCCCTAAAGCCCCCAAATAAGGCTATTCTCCTAAGAAATCTTCAGACCCATCTGGGTCACAGGAGAGCATCTGCAATGGCTTGAGAAAAAGGTGGTGACTGTTATGGATAGAGGAGACTCTTAACTGTTAGTGCTGCACAAAAATAAACTGTTATTCCAGCACATGTTAGATCTGCAATATATTGAAGTGGTCGTCATTTCAACAAACTATTTGAAAATCACATGTCATCTTTTATTAACAGGAGAGGACCTTTTGAAATGTTTCTAAGTCAAGCAGATTTCTGTCCAAGGAGACAGATTATTAAATACATAGTTCAGACAATATTAAGAGTCCTGAAATGAATCTACCACTCAAGGATTCCAAGAAGGCAACTTTCAAGAGCCAAAGGTTTATGTGCTGAAAAGAGTTCTAAAATCACCATCTTTGGACTGAAAGTCCAGGGAAATGATCTTAAAGACCCACATTCTAGAGAAGTACTCAAGGTGAGAATGGACACTTAACTAATTTGTATTATTCTTAATAAAACACCACAACTCACTCATAAAAGTCATGCCTCTGAATTTCTTGAATTTTGCTGATGAGTACTACCCGGAGGCAAATCTGCTGGGGGAGGGTCTCTAGGTCTCCACACAGAGCAAATTAAAGCTCGTGAAAGGACATTAATAATCTAGTCATGAAGTCATTTGCAGTTTCATTTCCCTGCTAGCTTTCTCCAAACTTCTCCCAGAAGGTGTTCTCACATAAGGAGGAAAGCAGGAAATATATTGTTCCTTCTCCACCTCCCTTTACCTACCCCGGCACAGGTGACTGATTATCTCACCTGTTTCATGAAAACTCTATTTCCCTAGATTGTGAAGAAAGCAAAAGAAATATTTTGGTTCACAAGGTCCTTGCTTATCAAAACGAACCTTTGGAATATGGATGAAAAGAGGTCTGAAGTGGCAGATCCCCAAGTTAGCAAATACTATCTAGACCTTATTAGTCATCGAGTATGGAATGATGACTTTATAAAGATGACATGCCAGGCATCATGAAGCCATGTTCAGACAGGATGCTAACATGGCATGGCTTCTTTGCTAAGCGACCTGCATCCTCTTAACAGTGTGAAATTCAAAATAGAGCCCTCGGGGGGGAAAAAAAGTTCCTATACCATTTGACTTCAGGGTTGTACTTAAATAGCTGAAACCCTGTTCAATATGTGAATACATGAAATAAGAACAGGGTCTGGAACATGGAACAGTCAACTGAACACTGGTAATGGATCCACAGAGTTTGACTTTCTGTACTGTCTCTGCTAGACCCTGCCTAGTTCTCACCCAGTCTACTTCTACTCAATCCCCTTCTTTGGCCTATCTCTCCTCACAATCTTTTCTTTTGTGGTTAAATCCTTAGGTGAGTGACCCCAAGGCCTAGGAGAAGCCAAACCCTTACCTTGGTGTTAGTACATGCTTTTCCCTTTTTGTAGTCTTTGTGGCTACCCCGCTTGTCCAACTTTGCCCACAGCGCTTTGGCTTTCCAGTAGTTAAGCTTGGACTTGAGCTTGTGATAAAAGGAGCGGTAGTCCTTAGGCTTCAGTTCTAGGTGGTCACAGAGCTCTTGGAAGGCCTTGAGGGTCCCCTTGCAGGTGGTGGCCTGCACAAACCGGTCAAAGAGGACATGAGCGCGATTCATTGTCTCGTTCTTGCTGTCCTCCATGCTTCCCCACTCTCAGCAGCCCCCAACAAAGGGGCAGTGGGATGGCTGTTGATCCACCTGATTCTGTCACATTAATCTAACAAAAATAAAGAAAGAAAAAGGAATGGTTAGCAAATCCAAATTTCTACCTGCAAACATTTTCTAGGAGACATAACTCCTTTTCAAATGGAGTTCTGAAGTGTCATAGCCGTTCATTCAACAAATGTATATCCTATACCTTCTGTACTCCAGGCACTATCTATGACACTGGGGATGGAAAGATGAGCAAGACAGTGTTTGCTTTCAAGGATCTTAGAGTTTAGTGGGTGAGACAGACTCATAAACAGAATGTTAAATGTACTTTGCTAAGTGTCATTAGAGAGAGAGGGGAACAAGGGACTTGGGAACGTAGACAATGAGTACCTAATCATAATGGGTCCTCGTTGAAGATAAACCTCTGAAAGGTGACAGCTGAGTCTTTCAGGATAAGTCAGTGTTAGCCAGGCAGGGAAGAAGTATAGAAGGTAGGAAAAGAAATAAAATAGGAAGGCTTGTGAGTGAGTGACTTTTACAGATGAAAGACTCAAGAATGCTGCCCAGGTTTCCAGCTTAGGCCACTGAATAAATAATGACACCAGGCCAATGAATTAAAAATAGAGGAACTCATTTGTAAGGGGAAGGTAGTGAGTTCCCTTTTGGCTTGTTACGTCTGAGCTGCCTTAACAGAGGCACTTGCTAGGCAGTCGGGTATGTATTTGAAGCTTAGGGGAGTAGCCAAGGACCCAGGTCCAGATTTGGGAGTCATTAGCATACAGGTGGTAGCTAAACCTTCAAAAGTGGTACAATCACAAAAGGAGAGCCCATGGGAAGAGAGAGCCATGGGCCCTGGATGAGATCTGGGACTCATCAACTTGTAAGGAACTGGCAGAGAAAGAAGAGCTCTCTAAAAAGATTGTGAGGCACAGTGGAGAGAGGTCTGAAGAGAACCGAAGGGCAGTGTCACAGCAGTCTAAGAAGCACAAAGTTCAGAAGTGGCAAAGTCAGTAGGGTTTTAAAGGACTGAAACAGTCCTGCCCCTGCATGTGGTACATGTCAGGGTGGGAAGATTTTATAGCCATTTCATTTTGCCCACAAACATATTTGACAGTGATGATAATGTCTACACCTTCCACTTATTAAAAGCATCTACACATCCACCATCCTATGTGGATAGAAGCTTTAAGATGGGAGAAGGCACCTTACACGCTCCTTTAATGCACTCACTCCCTTGGGTCTGTTTCATCATTTTTGTACCACGTTTCATGTATCATCACTACCTAGAACTATTATTGGGAGGTAGGAGACAAAGGGCCAAGAGTGAAAAACTAAAACATAGTAAGAATAGAGAAGCAGGTCAGAGCAAGGAGATGAGCACTAACATGGCTCTGAACCCCCTGTGCCAGAGACTGGTTGCATGACCCTGGACAAGTCACTTTGCCTCACCAGGCCTCGATTTTCCCTTGTGTAAGACAAGGCGGTTACACTGGATGGTCTCTAAACTCCTCTTCCAAATCTGAAGTTCTCCAAGTTTAGTGCTGAGAAAATCCTCATGGTCACACTACTAGTGTGACAAACAGGACTGCACTGAAACTTTGCTTTAAAGAGGACTCACTCTTGGAGATGGGGGAGACAGAGGAAGGGGGGTGTTGATTCACTGTGGTCAGGAGGGGTACAGAAGTAAGAAGTGACTCACTAGTAAAGCAATCCAAGAGTACTGGGAGCCACCAGACTGTATGTGCTGATGAAAATAATTGTCAGAAGAAGGCACCAAGCTCTGGACATGGAAGGGACCATGTTCTGTCCTAAGCTCTTACACTGGGTAAGCGTCTGCAACAGAATCCCCCTTTGTGAAGTAGAAGTAACATCCTGCATCTCTCTACACCTCACCATGATATTATAAGGGCTAAACCAAATCAACAGGAGACCTGTCTTAAGCTTCGCGAGAGAAAGTAATAGCTATACACAAAGAACTGACATTTTCCCTTAATGTCAGCAGACCTGGCACTCTTCATATACTGTGGAGGCCGAGTCAAAGACGGTAACTCTTCACCTGGAACACACTGACTAGGCTTCTCATCTCAGATATATACTTACTCGACGATCTCCTGGCTCTGAATATAAAAACTACACTGCTAAAAAAACAGCTTGTCTCAGTAGCCACGTGGCCAAGAGTCCATCAAGAAATGGAATTAACTGGAACTAACCTCCAGTTCCCCCTCAATAAAGTTTATTCTAGGAAACAATACACAGCAAGAGAAATATTTTAAAGTTCCTAAAAAGAGCCCACTCTTTTTCTTATATGCCAAGGCTTATCTTAGAAATGGTACATAATGAAAAGATGTCTTATAGGGGCAGAAAAAGCAGATGTGTTTATCCAAAGGCAGAAGGGTGACAGGTAACAACCAATGACTAGAAAAAAGGTCCCAGAGTGATTGCCTCTTGCCTTCCTTGTGTAGCTTTCTGTGGCTTTATTTGCTTTTTTGGCAAACAGACAGCATTTTGCAATCCTGACCTTGCATGCCCGACCTGTGTTCATAGTCGACTTTGACTCCACCAGGGTCATAATGTTTGGAAAGCTTTGAAAACACCTGGTCTGATCTCTCTGCCTCTTGTCAAAGAAAATGATTTCTCTTTGTTCCTGAACTGCAGTCACCTTCCACTCCTTGCCAGGATTTGGAGCACTCAGTACCAGGATGTTCTTGCTGAAACCAACACATTAAAAATCCTGCAACTTTAGGGCACCCGGGTGGCTCAGTTGGTTAAGCATCTGACTCTTGGTTTCGGCTTGGGTTGTGGTCCCAGGGTCTTGAGATCAAGCCCTGAGCTGGGCTCCGCGCTGAGTGTGGAGTCCGCTTGAGATTCTCTCCCTCTCCCGCTGCCCCTCCCCCAGCTTGCATGCATGTGTGTGCTCTCTCTCACTCTCACTCAAATAAATAAAATCTTAAAAAAAAATCCTGCAACATTATTTCTAAAAAGCCTTTCCCCTATTATAATGCCTATCTTATGCTTATACCTCCCTGAAGTGTTTTGGGCATTTATTTTCAAAGAAAAATTCTGCTTTGTAAGCTAACACCCCCTTGGCTGGCTGTAGCCCACTCTGTTTGAAATATTCACTTCCACAGAGCTACTAACCAGCACAGAGAATTTCCAAATCAACCCCCACCATAGATGAACACCTTCATTAATAACTGGCCCCCAATCCTTCTCCTGACTTTCAGGTTTCAGCCACAGCTCCCAGACAGTTGCAGAGAGTCTGCTTCCAAGCAGTGGTCAAATATTAAATGCCCACTCTAAGGGATTTCTTAGGTGAAGTGACCTGTAGGTCACTAATGAGAACAGATAAATAGAGGTAAGTTGGCTCCTGGAACAATGTGACAAGCACCCAAGGTAAGAGTACACAAGATTAATTCCCCTGGGCTGCCTCACTTTTCCTACTTTGCAAGTCAAATGACCACAGCAGGAAGACACTCTCAAGTGCTACAGCATTACTCTGTAACTGCTGGACTGGGACTGTGTCATTTAGCAAGGGGAATCTGGCATTCTGATTCATTCTGAGAGCAGCTGGGGAGAACTGCAGAAGGGCCATTCCTGTTATTGCCCTCATTTCTCTCATTCCTGAAGGTCAACTCAGATCCTGCTCCTCCTGGCCTCTCCTGGACTGTCCCTGTGTGCCAAACATACTAGTATCCTGGGAAAATTCCGTATTCATAATTACAGGAACCTAGAGACCAGGAAACCTGGCCGGAAGATGCCAGAAATCCTGGGGACTGAAAAGCCAAGGTGTGGAAGGAAGGGAAAAGGGAAGTGAGGAGCCTGAGGAGGGAAGAGGAAGAGGAGATGATGCCAGGTTTCCAGGGCACTGGTGCAATTTCTGCCAGTGGACAATATCCTGCATGTTTTGTCCCGTGGCAGCTGACTGCTGACTCAGAAGCCTTGCACATTCCTTGGCTGTGGAGGAAAATGCTGGAGAGGCAGCCTATGAAGTACATGCAGGACAGAATTTATATTTCTATTTACAAGAGTAAAAGGCTGTCACTGACTTATGGCTGGTTATGAGAACACTCAATCTCTACCTCTTAGAATAGGTGGATGATTATTTGTAGGAGGTGAGAAATATCTTTAAAAATAGAAAAGGGAGGGGCACCTTGGGTGGCTCAGTCGGTTAAGCATCTGCCTTTGGCTCAGGTCATGGTCCTGGGGTCCTGGGATTGGGTCCCGCTTCAGACTCCCTGCTTCTCCCTCTCCTTCTGCCTGTCCGCCCCCCACTCATGCTCTTTCTCTCTCAAATAAATAAATAAAATCTTTAAAAAAATGAAAAGGGAAAGAGAAATAGAGCAAGAAACTAGGAATTACACTTCAAGAGTATGGAACCAGGGGCACCTAGGTGGCTCAGTTGGTTAAGTGTCCGACTCTTCGTTTTGGCTCAGGTCATGATCTCAGGGTCGTGGGATTGAACCCTCCTGCGTCAGGCTCCACGCCCAGTGTGCAGACTGTTTAAGATTCTCCCTCTCCTTCTCTAAAAAAAAAAATAGAGTATGAAACCAGAGTCAAATTTAGTTAATTTTCTCCTAGCCACTGCAGATGTGTAAATCTCTGAATCTTATTAAGGAATCTATGAAACGCTTCTTTCCCTAGCCCATTCAGTCAGAGGTGTGACTTGTCTAAATAGATGCTAGGAGTAAGTAGATCTATAGGAAGGCAGATTTTGGAATGTGATTAGGAGGAAACTTAGATGAAAACTGCACTTGAGATTATAGAGATTCCTTTGTGTTTTGTCTCAGAAACAAAGACCAAAGTTGACAAATGCCTTGAGTTCTTCATTAGTCTTTCTGCAACAAAGGCCTCTCAGGCTACTATCATCTGTGGATGGGAACACTGAGGCCCTCACCTCAGGAGGCAATGAGCTGACTGAACCAGACAGTCTGGGAAGGAGACTCCTTGTCGCCTCCTACTGCTTCCCATCTCTGGCACCAACGGCTTATCTCTCACAACCTTATCTAAGGTTCTCTGGGTACCTAGGAAGCAAACCCAAAATATAATAAGGAAAGCAGTCTTTCTC